AGTTGGGGGGAGTAGCGATACTCCTAGATGCTTCATGCAAAGGGAACTTGGCTCAAGCAAACAACTTTACCTGAAATTTACCAGTGATCTGACTTACAAAGGAGGGCTTATATTCTTATGCTGAAGGGATTGTGCTAACCTGAAGGGGCACTAAATACATTTATAACATAGCTGGCAGAGCCACGTAATCAAATTCAGTATAGGTAAGCATGCTAAAAATCCCGATAGTGCATGCTAATAGCATGAGCAAATCGCTTTGCCAGAAATTTTTTTTTTTGCGCGCGAGCGGCCATTGTTAGTGCAGGGGAAAAATAATATATTTCACGACAATAATGGATACAAACAGAGACTCGGCCCACCAGTCCCAAAACAAAGACAATTTTCCGACCTTTTCTCTTGGGCTAGAGTTCTTAAATGAGGCAGAAAAAGAGAAAAACAACGGAAAAGGATACTGGGCATCAGCACCGTCATGATTCGCTTCTGATATAGTTGTCTGTTTTTCGCGTCAGATTTGATGCACAATTCCACTGGCTATGTTCTAAAACAATTGGTTCATGCTTTTAGCTGTGCACTATCAAGTTATAGAGCATGTGGGAAGTTTGGAGAGCACTCAAGAAGCTTGAGTTGCCCTTGGCTATTGCCTCGGGCAACTCCTACGCTTCTTTCGAGCTCTCCAAACTTCCCACATGCTCCATAACTTGATAGTGCACGCCAAAGCATGAACCAATTGTTCAGTAATACCCTGGGCAATGATTAAAGTTATAACAATATGTGTACAACTGATATTAACAATTCCAACAAGGGAAGGGTAAACTAAATATCCCATACAAGTTGGCCTTTCAAAAGACAGACATACAGAGGAGTTTGCTAAGTTTTCAAGTGAGTAGATTTTGATAAAAAGTAAGTAGTGTTTGGTATCAAGTTTTATAGTCGCTGTGTAATGTTTTCTTAACCAAATTTTGAATTGATACCTCATTCGGTGCCCAGTGTATCCTAAATTGCAAAATAAGTAGTAAAAATGGCAGGCTACAGGTTGCTTAAGCAATAGAATACAATTATTTGTTTATTTATTTAACAATTTGCCAAAGGCCTTCTATAATGTGACAAAGCCACAAGTGAGGATGAGAGAACATGAGGAAAGCTTAACTAAATCATGAGCTGAAGACAAGCGATTTGTAGGCTGGCTTTATCAAATTATAGAGCCCAGAAAAAATGCAATCTGTTGCTTTTATGACATAACAAGTTACATGCATGCCCTGTAACCTGATAAAGCATCCTCTTGAAATCTGAATTGACCAATCGGATGATACATACTATGTTAATTATGTTATAACACGTGATGGAACAAGTGTGTGGAGATGAAATTCAGAGGAAATGTGAAACATATAGTTTTTTTTTTAATTACCTGTTTAACAAATCACTGTAACTATTTCTTCTTTCCTGCTGACTGTGAAGACCATTAGCTGTAGTAGTACGGTACCCAAGCTGGTCTGAAATTTCTTCCAGTCGCAGTCCACATCGATAAAGCTGTTCAAAATTGACAAGTTAATACATGTAAGTACAACAGCGTATGGAACACCTTCAATTAAACATTACTTCCTCATGATCACTGAGGCCTGCAATGGCTTAGTGCAGAGAAGGACAGCTTGTTGACCATTAATTTTCATGCACTGCACTAAGATATCATTGAAGGATCTGGCCCTTATCTGATTTTCCCAAAATAAGGCCCCATAACACACTCTAAGCATTTAAACAAGTTCACTATGAGATTTATCATAGTATACAAAGTTTATTCATAAAAAAAACACAGCATCAAAGTCATCAGATGCAACTGCTGGAAAAAAAAAAACCCAAAAAGCAGTTACTGTAAACAAGATGCAAATCAGATTTTATTTTAAATTTGCAGTTCAGGGAGTGAGCAAGGCTTAATGTTTCTTAATTATACATAAACCTTCTTCACCTGCTCTACCCCTTTCCCCAATAAATGCAATTAAAATAGCCCTAACCAGTCTTCTCACTTACTTGTCCATCAAGACTGTCCTCAGGTTGAAAATCACCAGTAAAGCTAAGTAAAGAAAATAAATGGCATTCAATAATGAGAAATTTATGGTACTGTACACTTATGGACCAAATTGGGTAGGGGGCAAGACACAACCTGAGTCAGGATAGGGAACATATCATGATAATAACCAGGTCCTGGTTGTTTGAAGGATGGATAATACTATGTACTGGATAAATCTGTATCCAGTGGATACTGCAGTAAGTTTTGCTATCACTTTTTTCTTTTGTAGGCTTTTTTTTTTCAAACCATTTTCACCGCATTACTGCTGTAGGATAAAACTAGAACTGAACATATGTGAACCATGCGAGTAGTCCACCCCATAAATCCCACCCATCCCACCCCAGGGGAGGACATCCATCCATCACACAGTAATCTCGTGCGTGGGAAATTAACATCTCCTACCTCTAACCCTGTAGGAGTTGGGACCTCCATTTATTCGTCCCTAATCCGAGAAGACTAGAATATCTAACCATTTCTTGATGTCATAGAAAGGTAGCATATTCTTCTCAATTATTTTAAGACCTTGAGTGTTGGAAGCGGTTTTTATCCACTGTACAGCTATTTATCTGTTGAATAGTGTTAGCCACCCTTTATACAACTGGGCCTAGAAGAAAAAGGGGAGTTTCATTCACTGAGCTGGCTTGTTTTTTTGTGTCGTTGCAAAGTTTCATGATCTTTAACACCTAATCTCCCCTAAGGAAGACTTGTAAGCATCGAATTTCTCCATACAGTGTCACCCCTCCGGCCCAGTTGTTTGAAGGCCAAGTAGCATTAACCAAGGGTTAAATTTTAATCCAGGTTTCTATATTTCTCTGTTCAAAAGCTGCTTTGGGATAACTTTCCCAATTCTTTTTTGGGTACTCAATCATCAAATTGTAGGCAATTGGAATTAAACTGAATTTTCTTTTTTAAAGCTGTCAGATCTGAAATCAAATTACACACTAACCCTGGGTTATCTTAATCCACCTTTCAACATACTGGCCCTGATTCAAACATAAAGGTCAAATGGATGATCACCTACTAAAGAAGTTCTTAATTTTTAACCAAATTCTCCTAGTGAGAATCATAGGGAATGTAAAAAGAACAGTGTAAAGCGAGATTATACCTACTGGTGTTGCATGTCATTTGGTTACCATTAATTCTGAGATCTAAAGAAAGGTCCTTCTGGGGAGGCTAATCAGCTTTGTTCATTCAATATATAATCAAGGGATAAAAGAAAACAGGTTTGTTTTGAAACTTTCTGCACATCACAAGCCATGTTGTAGATTTTTACAGCAGCTCACCCCACCTGATTGAAAACAGTTGGGTTACAAAGTGGCCACCTGCTTAGCTGTTTATATTGAGCATTCAGCTGAGTTACACTCTCATGAGCCAAACAGACAACCTCAAGAAATTCATCAAGAAGTTGATATAAATATATTTGTATTTGTTGTTAATTTTTTATTGTGCTGATTTGAATTTTCATCTTAAAAAATCATATTAAGGTTGAGCGTGTTTTGAGAAACCAGCTGAGAAAATGTGGGATTAAAATGTTCTGAAGTAGAAAACGAACAATAACATGCTACTGAACAAACTGCTAAACAATTGAAAAAAAAAAACCGTCACAAGAACATTTTTAATTTTCCGACAATTTCAGAGTCAAATACGTTTAATTTCTTTTTTTAACTCTTTTCAAAAAGCCATTAAAACCACGACACCAAGCGAGTAATATGAAGCAAATAATCTCCTAACAAAGAATTAGAAAAAACCTTTTCGCAGGTCTTCATTTGTACATAACTTAACCAGACAATAATGCCTTCTTATTTTGACAAGGCATACCTAAGCTGTTAGAATTAAATCTTTCTTTGGCCCGAATCTTAGAAAATTTTTCAGTTCTCCATTACGTGTCGTTAATTTTACCAAATAAGAACAGCTGGTTACCAGTTTTTCATGGTTTTAGATCGTCACGATCGCCTGAAAATTCGGTGTTCTTTCCATGAATGATTTAGTACCCCAACTTTGAACAAAGCCCAAACTGTGGACTCGTTAAATTAAGAAAACATGAACAGGCTAGACGGTATTTTTGGATGAAAAAATTAAATTACACGTCTTTGTTTAAATCGTCTAATCTGTTAAAAGTTTATACTTTGCTTGACTTGAATTATTGTCACAATATAAGAACATAAACTCAATGTTTAAAAACTGAGAGCGTTTTAAAAACGATTTGTTTTCCCGCTGTACAATGTTGACAAAAAGTTTACAAAAACATTTCCGGAGATGGACATCTTTGACCTTGAACGTAATTTAAAATAGCATGGTAAAACTTTTCGATTTTTATGATTTTCCTTACCTTTCGTTTTCAAAGGACTCTGGATCTCTTCCACTTTCCAATCGTTGTATCTGCAGTAATTCTTGTTTCAAATTCCCGTTTTGTGCTTTCAACTGCTCGCACATATCCCTCAGTTCTTGAAGTTCGGGCTCTCCCCATTGCCCCTCCATAACATGGCTCTGCAAAGCGTCTACATCCTCTTGAAAATACTGTACTTTAGAAGTCAATGCTGCCCTAAATCGTGCTCCTCGTCCATCGGGACTCGATAGATTTGCTGGAGAAGAATCAGTCGCTGGACCTGTTGTCCGTTGCAATTGGTTGCCATTTTGCGATATAGAGTGAGATCCTTCGCTTGGAGGAAAACCACCTTCGCTTAAAACAGCTTGGCGACTTTTGGGAAATCTAAAGACACCAGGCTGATTGTGAACCGAAACTTTCACAAATGAGCTTTGTTGTGGTGGAGGTAAATCGCTGTACAAGTTTAGTTTAGCACCTATCCGCAGTTGATCTATAGTGTTCTCAGCCTGTGCGTACTTTTTAAGGAGTTCGTCGTAATCGTCCTGAAGTCGCTGATTAACTTCGTCGGTCTCTTTACGTTGTGATTTCTCTTTCCTTAACCTTTCCTGTAAATCGATCCCAGCTGAAACATCCGTCGAGCTGTCCGAGAAAGTCCTTTGTCTCCTTGAAGCAGTAGCAGTCTGTTGGCCTTGAAATTCAGCCATCTTTCAAACATGCTATGCGCGAGATGTACGTTTTTCCTTGTTATTTCTCGTCGGATTTCCCATTTTTTCCTGGTAACATACTCTAAGCTTATTCCTGTACACTTTACTCCTTGTTTAGATGATCTGTCAAGGGGAATCGTCGATAATTAAGCAAGATCGTTCACGTTTCAGTCACTACGCTACGGCCATTCCTTTGAGCATCTATCACTCTCCCCTCCATGGAAACGAGGCGACGCGTGTATACTCAACCGGCGAGAGACAAAAGCGTCCAAGCTCACGCTAGATTCTGATTGGCTTGTTCAAGTGCACATTAAATTGGCTTGTTTATCTTTCACAATGAATGATAACAGACTAGGAAACGATGAACTGTCAAGAACGCCACGAGAATTTAGACGTCAATACTTCATGACGTCCAGTCACCTTTATGTCAAAAGCTTTTGTTTACCGCAAGAATATTCCATCAATTCCGTAACATCAGCACTTCTCAAAGATGACTTTTCCTAAAATTTACATCCTGTAGGAAGCATCAAAGAAAAAAAAATGCATCTTATTGGTATCGTTGCTTTATATTGAGTCGTTTGTTTGATTCTTTACCTATATGCCAGTCGCCCATTATGACATGCTCATTTATTTGTAATTTTTTTTTTTTTTTTGCGAAATTATAATGAGGTTTTTGTTTTCTATATGTTTTTTGTGTGTATTGATTGCATAAATAGCGCTCTCTACTGCGAGGATCGTGCATCATACGTATTTATTTCTTTTCTTTTTTCTTCTCCTCGTTGTGACTATTTCCTTGGGAATAGATAAAAATACTCTTGTAAATGTTTAGTAAGTCTCGTAATTTACGCAAAGGATCGGCTTGGACTCTATTGAGGACGATCGCGACATTTGGAAGGAAGTGGGACATGGATGCTTCCAAATTTCAGGGAGAATGTTTTCATTACTCTTTCATTATTTTACTTATTTAAAAGGTAAGTGATGGGTGAAATATCACCGCACAGAAGGTCGAGGGCAACTACTTTCAAAGCCTCTACTAACTATGGTTTTACAGGTGGAAGATGAAAATAAGAATACGGGCGACGAGACACAAACATAAGGAGAGGCGGTTAAGGTGCCTCTCAGTATTCTCTTTCAAATTCCTCTCGTTGGCTCACTGATCACTTTTGCGTGTCCGATCATGGTCCGATGCCTCTCAAAAGACCTTGCCAGTACGATAAACACCTGGGCCGGGTTGTTCAAAGGCGGATTAAGATAACCCAGGATTACCGTGAAATTTTAATTGCAGATCTGAAAGCTTTAAAGTTAAATTCACTTTAATTCCATTTGTCTACAATTTGGTGATTGAATGCTCTAAGAATAATTGGGAAAATTATCTTAAAACGGCTTTTGAACAGAGAAATATAGAAANCCTTGAACGTAAATAAAATAGCATGGTAAAACTTTTCAATTTTTATGATTTTCCTTACCTTTCGTTTTCAAAGGACTCTGGATCTCTTCCACTTTCCAATCGTTGTATCTGCAGTAATTCTTGTTTCAAATTCCCGTTTTGTGCTTTCAACTGCTCGCACATATCCCTCAGTTCTTGAAGTTCGGGCTCTCCCCATTGCCCCTCCATAACATGGCTCTGCAAAGCGTCTACATCCTCTTGAAAATACTGTACTTTAGAAGTCAATGCTGCCCTAAATCGTGCTCCTCGTCCATCGGGACTCGATAGATTTGCTGGAGAAGAATCAGTCGCTGGACCTGTTGTCCGTTGCAATTGGTTGCCATTTTGCGATATAGAGTGAGATCCTTCGCTTGGAGGAAAACCACCTTCGCTTAAAACAGCTTGGCGACTTTTGGGAAATCTAAAGACACCAGGCTGATTGTGAACCGAAACTTTCACAAATGAGCTTTGTTGTGGTGGAGGTAAATCGCTGTACAAGTTTAGTTTAGCACCTATCCGCAGTTGATCTATAGTGTTCTCAGCCTGTGCGTACTTTTTAAGGAGTTCGTCGTAATCGTCCTGAAGTCGCTGATTAACTTCGTCGGTCTCTTTACGTTGTGATTTCTCTTTTCTTAACCTTTCCTGTAAATCGATCCCTGCTGAAACATCCGTCGAGCTGTCCGAGAAAGTCCTTTGTCTCCTTGAAGCAGTAGCAGTCAGTTGGCCTTGAAATTCAGCCATCTTTCAAACATGCTATGCGCGAGATGTACGTTTTTCCTTGTTATTTCTCGTCGGATTTCCCATTTTTTCCTTATAACATACTCTAAGCTTATTCGTGTACACTTTACTCCTTGTTTAGATGATCTGTCAAGGGGAATCGTCGATAATTAAGCAAGATCGTTCACGTTTCAGTCACTACGCTACGGCCATTCCTTTGAGCATCTATCACTCTCCCCTCCATGGAAACGAGGCGACGCGTGTATACTCAACCGGCGAGAGACAAAAGCGTCCAAGCTCACGCTAGATTCTGATTGGCTTGTTCAAGTGCACATTAAATTGGCTTGTTTATCTTTCACAATGAATGATAACAGACTAGGAAACGATGAACTGTCAAGAACGCCACGAGAATTTAGACGTCAATACTTCATGACGTCCAGTCACCTTTATGTCAAAAGCTTTTGTTTACCGCAAGAATATTCCATCAATTCCGTAACATCAGCACTTCTCAAAGATGACTTTTCCTAAAATTTACATCCTGTAGGAAGCATCAAAGAAAAAAAAATGCATCTTATTGGTATCGTTGCTTTATATTGAGTCGTTTGTTTGATTCTTTACCTATATGCCAGTCGCCCATTATGACATGCTCATTTATTTGTAATTTTTTTTTTTTTTTTGCGAAATTATAATGAGGTTTTTGTTTTCTATATGTTTTTTGTGTGTATTGATTGCATAAATAGCGCTCTCTACTGCGAGGATCGTGCATCATACGTATTTATTTCTTTTCTTTTTTCTTCTCCTCGTTGTGACTATTTCCTTGGGAATAGATAAAAATACTCTTGTAAATGTTTAGTAAGTCTCGTAATTTACGCAAAGGATCGGCTTGGACTCTATTGAGGACGATCGCGACATTTGGAAGGAAGTGGGACATGGATGCTTCCAAATTTCAGGGAGAATGTTTTCATTACTCTTTCATTATTTTACTTATTTAAAAGGTAAGTGATGGGTGAAATATCACCGCACAGAAGGTCGAGGGCAACTACTTTCAAAGCCTCTACTAACTATGGTTTTACAGGTGGAAGATGAAAATAAGAATACGGGCGACGAGACACAAACATAAGGAGAGGCGGTTAAGGTGCCTCTCAGTATTCTCTTTTAAATTCCTCTCGTGGGTTCACTGATCATTTTTGCGCGTCCGATGCGTCTCAAAAGACCTTGCCAGTACGATAGACACCTGGGCACTAGTCCCCAAGCTACCATAATTTGCCACACGCGTTTTCTACACCACAGAATTTCGATTTTGGAAAACCTATTTTTAACAAGTGTTCTTTTAAAACTTGGCAGCGCTGCAGCATGAGCACTAAAGAGAAGATTTGCTTTCCTTCGGAGAATAAGCAAGGAGCCTGTCCCGGAGTGCTTACTGGGGACGTAAATAAATCAACGATGGGTCTTGTTGTCGTGCAGGAATGGTGGGGGATGAACGAAATCATAATCGACGAAGCTGCAGACATCTCTGGAAGAGGCAACTTGGTAACTCTGGTGCCTGATCTTTATCGAGGAAAGGTAGCAACCGATCATGAAACAGCCGGGCATTACATGTCTGATCTGGACTGGCCTGGAGCGGTGCAAGATATCGCTGGAGCTGCCAATTTTTTGAAAGAAAAAGGTTGGTCCAATATTTCCTTTGGGAGAGGGGTGGGGGACTTCATCGGGGGTGATTGGAGGTTTATACGTTACGCTCGATTAAGACTAAAAATAAAACGTTACGCGTGAATTTTGCAGAAGGGAAAGCTAATATGAGAATTGAAGCTTTCTGTTTTAGATACGTGACGTGGGAAATACAATTTAGCACATGTGATTTTTTAATTTGTCTTACATTCATCCGTAAAACGGGTTCAGGACTCACCCCCCCTCCCCCATTTGCTACCCGTAATGTGTAGTTTGGAGACACCTCCAGATCAAATTCAGAGAATGGTACAAAATAGTCCTTAACGGTTTTTTTTTCATTATTATTTCTGCTTTTGTTGTTATATATATATATATCTTATTAACCAAGCGCGAGGGCCGTACTGGGAGAATATTGGCCTGAGGTCTTGACGGTATGGACCTCGCTGCGCTCGGTCCGTACAAAAAAGACTGAGGGCCGATATTCTTCCAGTACGGTCCCGATCAAGCTTGGTTAATAAGAGATTTATTATACGACTGAAGTTTAAAGCGACACAATTGCGGTATCATTCGGGACCATTCGGGACCATTCGGGACAGTGCCCGGTCCAATACTTAGAGAATATTGGAC